TTTTTTTTTTTTTACTAGTGAATTATGATGAAAAAAAAAAAAATTGTGCATGAAGAACATGAAAAACAATGTGTATAATAAAGTTGCATTGAAGAAAAGGAAATGAAAAGATTGTGCATAAAGAAAAAAAAAAGACATGAAAAATATTGTGCATGGAGAAAAATAAAGACATGAAAAATATTGTGCATGGAGAAAAAATAAAGATATGAAAAATATTGTGCATGGAGAAGAAAGGACATGAAAAAAAAATTGTGCATGAAGAAAAATTATATATTTGAAAAGTATTGAATAAGATTTTGACCACATGATTGATTGATTATAGCGGGATTTAAAATAACAAAGAAAATTGCCATGTGCTAATAGAATTTCCAACTAAAGTAAATTAAAATTCAATTAAAGTAAATTCAATTCAATTAAAGTAAATTAAAGTAAATTATAGTAAATTAAAGTAAATTATAGTAAATTATAGTAAATTAAAGTAAAATTAAAGTAAATTAAAGTAAATTAAAGTAAATTCAATTAAAAACAAATTCAATTAAAGTAAATTCAATTAAATTCAATTCAATTAAAATTAAAAGTAAATTCAATTCAATTAAACTAATTTAAAGTAAATTCAATTCAATTAAACTAATTTAAAGTAAATTCAATTTCAATTAAAGTAGTTTTAATTAAAACCAACCAAAAAAAACATAATTAACATTAAAGAAATCGGGAATCCAACCAAAGTAATCCAACTAAAATAAATACCAAAGTAATCACAACCAAATCCAACCAAAAGTAATCACTAAAGTAATCAAACTAAAGTAATCCAACCAAATCCAACCAACCATCCAACCAAATCCAAACATTGGTTTATGGTATATCGGACAAACTTTAAAAAAAAAAAAACCTGCTATAAACCGGCACTATATAAAAAATAATAACAATGATGTTATGCTTCACGTAATCTGGGATGCATAAGGACTGCGGTAGTCATTGAGTCATCGGGTCATCGGAACTTGGGACCTTTAAATTTTTTTTTTTTTAAAGTTAAAAAACATTCAAAAATAAATTTAAAGTTTTAAAATTTAAAGTTAGATTTTTAACAATTTGCAATTTTCAAAACTAGACTTTTTAAATGTTTGAAGTTATGCGCGGTAGGTGTTAACAATGTTTCAATTTTTTTTTTTAACAATTATAAAAATATATAAATGGGTGTATTGGCGGGAAAAAAAAAAAAAATTGTCGTGTGAAAAATGGCACGATTGAAAGATGATAATAAAATTTTATTTTTACTTTGTCTTTTTTTAACAATAAATGTTAACAATCTGAAAATATTTAATAATGTAATACTGTAAGAGAAAACGTGTACAAGTAAGAATACAAAGTGTTACAAAGTGTACAACAGTACTGTTAAAAAGTACTAAATTAAACATATTATTAACTCAGTTAAACTCAGTTCTAAAAAAAAAAAAAAAAAAAAAAAAAAAAAAAAAA